TGCATGTAAAGCTTTTTAATACTAAGCATATGTAGTACCTTCATGAGGCAGCTATAGGGTGGCACCTAACATGCCTTAGTTCTAGAGATCTGCTGTAAAATATTGTCCTGTGGTTAAAATACTGTATTGTATACATAAAATTTTATTAAGAGGTGCTAGGCCTAGTGGCACATGCCTACGATTATCCCAGTACTTGCACGATGGAGGCAGGGAAGATCATGAGTTCAAGACTAGCCTCTGCTCTATAGGAAATTTAAGACCAGACTGGGCTATGTGAGATACTGTCTTTTTAAAAATACACAAAATTTAAGGAAGAGTTAGATATGGACTGGAGAGATGGCTCAGCAGTTAAGAGCACTGGCTGTTCTTACAGAACACCCAGGTGCAGTTCCCAGCACCCACACGGTGGCTAACACTGTTTTTAACTCCAGTTCCAGGGGATCTGAAGCCCTCTTCTGGCCTCCATGAGTATTGCACTTACAAACAAGCAGGCAAAATATTCATTAAAAAAATAACTTTTTTTAAAAAAGAGGGGTTAGGTATGGTGACACATGCCCGTACTCTCAAGAGGGTTTGACAGGAGTTTTGAAATCTGAGGCCAGATTAACCTTATAACAAGACTGTCTCAAAAACCAAAAATGGCTGGGCCTGGTGGTACATGACTTTAATTCCAGCACTTGAGGCAGAGGCAGGCAGATCTCTGTGAGTTTGAGGGCAGCCTGGTCTATGTAGTGGGTTTCAGACCAGCCAGGGCTATGCAGTGAGACCTTATCTCAAAAAAAAAAAAAAGTCTGTGTGGGGGTAGGGGGGAGTTCTCATGATCCATGGTACACAGGTGGCCTCAAACTCACCGTGGAGCCTGGACCAGCCTCAAGCACGCACTCTTCTTGTCTCCGCCTCTGTGTGCTGGATTATAGGCCGTAGCACCACGCCTGGCTTTCTGAAATTTAAAAAAAATACATTAACAAAAGTTTGAATTAAATTGTGCTTTGAGCCCTTAAATATTAGTACAAGAATTTTTACACTGAAATAACTCATCACATGAGTATATAGTGGATTTTGAAGGAGTCTAGTGCCATTTCTACTATATAACTATAAAAGTGAAATAATCATACTTTTTTACAAACTCATTTTCAGATGTATAATGACTCAAAGTCAAATGAAACATTTTTCCTTCTCTCCGCAGGCATGGGAAACAGTGAGACGGGAGTACATGGAGGACCCCACTGTCGTTTCTTCATACAGGCAAAAGCTGATTAGCTATTTCACCTCACAGCTAAGGTATCA